GCTTATTTTCTCTTCTACTCTTTCTCTCAGTTCTTTCTCATCTTTCTGATGAAGGCAATGCTCATGCGAGGGAGGGGACCACTCACGGCATCTGCTGTCACAAGCCAGGAGCCGTCAGGCTTCCTTGCCATCTCCAGCTGTGGTCTCTACCACATGTCAAACAGCACATCCACCCCCAGAATACACTCATTCTTGGATTGGTGATTCTGTATTCTTTTGTGAGTAATCACCCAATCCTCAGGGTTTCTGTCTGAAGTCACCCCAACACTCGGCTTTTATAACCACCAATGTGACACGCAGGCCCCTGCACTCAGGCCATCTCTTTCCACATGGGTCGGGGATCTGTGACTAAAGCTCCACCTATGGTCTCTCTTAGGTCCCTTCTTTGACTTTGGGCTTCACCATAAGCCACCATAAGCCACGTTCCCCAACCGTCCAAGGACAGGTTCATCAGCTCCTCACCCTCACTCGACAATGAATAGGGCATCACCCACAGGTGATTTTAAGAGACTCACTGGCCTTCTTTAACATACTTAATCTGCTTAACAGGCACTCAGGGCTTCCCAATCTTAGCACCAGCTTTTGTGTTTTTATTTATTTATTTATTTAAAGATTTATTTATTTATACAAGCACTGGGTACAGTCAGAAGTGCAGGAGGGTGAGAGAATCCACCAGAGCCAGAGCTGGGAGCAGAGCAGGCAGACTGACAAAGTACATTGCTGAGGGGAGCAACAGACTGCAGGAGAGGTCTGCGTGCCCTGGGGACCCTCACTGGCAGCCGGGATAGAACTGGCGCTGCAGAGGCTTCAGGCAGCTTCACAGCCCAGTGCTCAACCACTGTGCCACAAGGGAGGCCCGCTTTTGCCTTTCTAAGTTGGCTTTTTTAACACATCTCTGCCTGGCTGCAGAGAACTTGGTGAGGGCTCTTCCCTCAGCCAACTGTGGGTTCTTCTCATCCTTCCCCCTACCTCTACTATGGCCCTTGCCTCTCTGGGATGTGGCCCTGAGAATGCCGGGCAGTACACAGGCTGCTTTGGCCACTGAGGGCCACCGGCCATGCCTGATTTTCATCTCCTTGGGTGTATGAATGATACCATCCACCCCCAGGGTCCCAAAAACATAATATCAACTGTAATGGCAGGAATGACACAGGGCAGGTTTTCTATGATCCGAGCAGATGGGGTAAGGAGAAGTCCTGGAGCCCTCGGTGGCTTTTCAGGCTTTTATTGGCATTTACCAGGTACACGGCAGGCAAGGGTGCTGAGGGCCTGGGAGACTGGCAGGCCTTCCAGCTCCCAGCAAGTCTTCACTCTGTCTGGGCTCTCCGGCGTCCTCTGGTGGTCTCTGCTTCTCTTTTGCTCTCTTTCTGTCTTTCGTTCTCTGCTCCTCTCATGGTTCTTCTGGCATCGCCGTGACACTACCCTTATAAGCCCAGTCTTAGCCCAGGTGTACCCACTTGCGCATGCCCACACCCTACTCCAGGTGTCCGCCATAAGGAATGCATTCAGGACCTCAGGGATCCATCATCAATCTTAATGGCATGAGGGCAGAAAAGCCTGACACTTTTTCACTTACCCTACATCAGCCTATCAAAGTTCCTCTGTTTTCTGACAGGATTGTCAGTCCAAGTCCATTGGATTTTCCCTGCTTTAGCACTAGGCAAACTCCAAACCGTGGTCTTCTTTCTTTCTGATGATTCTGCTGCTAGGGGTCATGAGCTGGTCCTCTTGGGTGGTCTCCTCCTCCACTCTAGGTCTCATCTAGCAACTCCCAGACCTTGTCCACTTCCTGTGCTACTGCAATGTCTTTAGCTCTTCCTGCAACTCCTGGACCTTGGTCACCACCTGTGCTGCCATAGCTCCTCCAGCGTGGTCATAGTCTCACAGTCTGTCACCCCTAGAGCCTCCTGAGTTCTTTGAGAGCTCCATACCCATCTGCATCAAAACATTGTGCTGGGCCTCCCCAGTGGTGCAGCGGTTGAGCGCTGGGTTGCGAAGCTGCCCGCAGCCTCTGCAGCGCCTTTTCGATCCCCGGCTGCTCCCCGGTTGCTCCCCGGCCACCGGAGGAGTGTCCCACATGGCGTGCAGACCTCTCCTGCCGCCCGCTGCTCCCCTCAGCAGTGTACTTAGGTCCTTCTGCCTGCTCTGCTCCCCACTCTGGCTCTGGTGAATTCTCTCACCCTCCCGCGCTTCTGACTGTACCCAATGCATGTATAAACAAAACAAAACAAACAAATAAATAAATAAATCATGCCTCCATTAAAAACAAAAAAAACATTGTGCTGATTACGCCAATTGTAGGGTGTAGGGTAAGGATGTTAGGTAAGGGTGTTAGCTTTTCTGCCCTCCAGCCATCAGGATAGATGATGGATCCTTGCAGTCCTGAATGCACTCCTGATGGCGGGCACCTGGAGTAGGGTGAGGGCATAGGTAGATGGGATTCACCTGGGCTGAAATTGGGCTTTTAAGGGCGGCGTCACGGGGATGCCAGAAGAAGCCGAAGCAGAAGCCAAGAGAGAAGCAAGAGAAGCAGAAGCTGAGAGAAGGCCGGAGAGCCCAGACCTGCTGGAGGCTGGGAGGCCTGCCAGGCTACCGGCCCCCCAGCGCCCCTGCCTGCCATGTACCTGGTAATCCCAATAAAAGCCTGCAAAACCACTGAGGACTCTGACTCCTCCTTTACCCGGTCTGTGGGATCATAGAAAACCTGCCCTGTGTCCAGTCCTGCCTCTAGATAGGGCCAACAAGAACACACAGAGCAAATTTTCTATGATCTGCGCAGAAGGGTAAAGGAGTGCCCTGGAGCCCTCAGTGGCTTTTCAGGCTTTTATTGTGCTTTTACAAGGCAAGGAGGCCTGGGGTGGAGGTTGGAGGCTGATAGGCCTCCCAGGCCCTGGCAAGTCTTCACACTTTCTGGGCTCTCTGGCATTCTCTAGTCCTCTTGTTCTTTCTCGTTCTCTGTTCTCTTCTGCTCTTGTTCTGCTTATCTTCTCTTCTATGCTTTCTCTCAGTTATTTCTCTTTCTTGGTTCCACTCTCCTGGTTCCCCATTGATGCCACTCTTATGAGCCCAGTCTCTCAGCCCAGGTACACCAACCTATGCATGCCTGCACCCTACTCCAGGTGTCCACATCAGGTATGCATGTAGGACCACAGGGATCCATCATCAACACTAATGGCAGGAGGGTAGAAAAGCCTGATACTTTTTCATTTACCCTCCAGCTACTCTCTCTGGTTTCTCATAAAATTAAGTGGAATAAAGAAGAGATCACTGATAATCTTCTTTATACATGTGCCCCACATCTCCCCACCCCCCCTAATTTCCCCAAAACCTCTAAAGGCACACAATTCTACTAAGGTCATTCAGTTAATGCCACTTTGCAGTTCTGGATCCTTAACCAAACTAAAGGTCCCAATGCTGGGGACTGAGGCACTGGAGAGTCTTTGGTGTCATATGGAAAATAATTTCAAAAAGTACCGGAATGAAACAAGCAATAGTTTATTAAGGAGCAATAGGACAGAATACTATGATATAGGATAAATGCTTTTCAGGCTTTTCTGCCCTTCTGCCATTAGGATTGATGATAGATTCCTGTGGTCCTGAATGCATGCCTGATGGTGGGCCCTGGAGTAGGGTATGTGCATACGTAGGTGGGATTCACCTGGGCTGGGACTGGGCTCATAAGGGTGGTGTCATGAGTCACCAGAGGAATGGAACCACCAGAAGAAGAAGAGAGAGAATGAGACCAAGAGCGAATGCTGGAGAGCCCATGTAAGGGCAGGACAGGCCACTGAGCAGGTTTTCTATGATCCAGCAGACCAGGTAAAGGAGGAGATTCCTGGAGCCCTCAGTGGCTTTTGCAGGCTTTTATTGGGATTTACCAGGTATACAGCAGGCAGAGGTGCTGGGGGCCGAGAGGCTGGCAGGCCTGCCAGCCCCCAGCAAGTTTTCATTCTGGCTGGGCTCTCTGGTGATCTCTGCTGCTCTGCTCCCTTGTCTTCATTTGTTCTGCTACTGCTGGCATCCCTGTGATATTGCCCTTAAAAGCCTAGCCTTAGCCCAGGTGAATCCCATCTACATATGCCCACACCCTATTCCAGGTGCCCACCATCAGGCATGCATTCAGGACCACAGGGTTCCGTCATCTATCCTAATGGCGGGAGGGCAGAAAAGCCTGATACTTTTTACCTTACCTACAGCCCGGAAAGAATGAAGAATCATGGTGGTCTAGGAGGTCTGCCAGCCTCCTGACTCCATGACCCCCCTGCCTGCCATGTATCTCATAAAGTCTCAATTAAAGCCTGAGAAAAGTCAGGACTCTTCCTTTACCCATCTGCTCAAATAATAGAGATCCTGATCTCTGTCTTCCTGCCACTACAATGGGAATTCACAGAAAAGCAGAACCATTTCAAGGTCATGAAGCAGCAGTTTTTTTTTTTTTTTTAAGATTTATTTATTTATTTGTTTGTTTATTTATTTATACAAGCACTGGGTACAGTCAGAAACGTGGGAGGGTGAGAGAATTCACCAGAGCCAGAGCAGGGAGCAGAACAGGCAAAAGGACTGAAGTACACTGCTGAGGGGAGCAGCGGGCACGGCAGTAGAGGTCTGCTCACCATGTGGGTCCCTCGCCCCGTGGCCAGAGATCGAACTGGCGCTGCAGAGGCTGCCGGCAGCTTCGCAACCTAGTGCTCAACCACTGCGCCACCGGGGAGGCCCCTGAAGCAGTAGTTTTTAAGGCATTTTTTTTTTTCTGTGTGGGGACGGGTACCTATTAATTAGCCATACCTGCTCCCATAATTTCTCCCAATTCTCAGACTAATAGAAACTACTACATTGTACAAAAATGAAAGATAATGTAAAAAATATACAAAAGAAAAAAAAAAGAAAGGGATTATCTGGTGAAGAGAGAGGACAGGTCAAATGGGCCTTTTGAGCAAATTCCCCAAATCCTACCATTTTCTTGGTATTAACTAGCAATGAAAGAACTGGACCTCCAAGATGAAAATATAGATTACTTCAATATTCTGCATGCCATCTTTGTGCAGGGGCCATGATAATTTTGTCTGTTTTGGGATAATTTTAGTATATGTGGCTTCTAAAGTGAGCACACAGACAAAAAATCTTTTGATACTAAAAAATAATAGAAAAAGGTAGATTTTAGATAAGTAATTTTATAGTCAGCTAATAAAGCAACAGTGATATAATATGAAACAGCTTGTAGCTACTTCTGTATGCACATGGACAACAAAGATTCAAATATAGGTCTAAGTATGAGGAGACTCTCATCCTAGCAGTTCAATCACAAGGAAGGAATCAGGAACTGCCACTTAGCTGCAGATAATTTATTGTAGATAATGTTTGGAAAATAAGGGGTTGAAAGTTATCTGTAATTTGGGCCTCCCTGGTGGCATATGGGTTAAAGACAGCAATATCAAGCTACTGCAAGCCACTACAGCACCAGTTCAATCCCCTGCTGGCCAGGGAGCAACTCATATGGCATAGCAGACCTCTCCTGTCTCCCCCACTGCTCCCCTCAGCAGTGTATTTCAGTAGATCTGACTGTTCTGCTCCCCATTCTGTCTCTGGTGAATCCTCTCACCCCCTGCATCTCTGGATTACACTCCAGTTCTTGCATGCATAAATACATAAATCTTTTTTTAAAAAAGTTATCTGTAATTTGCATTTATATCAACACTTCCTTAAAAAAAATCAACACTTCCTTAAAGAAAAAAACCCTTCAGGGGGTCTTCTCTTGAGCCAAGAGAAATGGTCACAATGACCACCCAAACATATGCCTCAACCCCTAACCTCCACTAACCTAGGGGTACAAGACACACATATTGGGCTCAAGGGAAGTGCCTATCTCTAAGTATACAACATCAAACAGCACTTAACACCTGCACAATCTTTATGGGACACCAAAATAAAGGCCAAACTTAGTTTCAGCTCTGCACTTTCTTATATCTGTTGACACACGATTTCTTTCCCTTTCAAGTAGAGAGGAATTTGCTTTTTGGCATTTGTAACCTCTCAAATTGAGATAACCTGGCACAATGCCTCTCCACCTCTCCCCTCTATCCCATGAGGCCCATAACCAAAATTGGCCTTCCCCTCATTCTTCTACCTCTTATTCTGGTACTCCAGGCCAGGGTGGGAGGGACAACTACCAGACCAGAGGCCTTGGGTATGCAGTGTACTTCTCAACAGAAACTGCTTTGAGCTTACATAATAGCAGATTTTGTCTCCAAATTCCATCAATAGTTTTCACTCACTAGCAGGACTTATTCTACGAAAGTTGCAGAACACTTGTTCTCCTTAGGGCTGTCCAGAGGAGGCTTTTCTATATATAGAAATAGTGCTATTTCTACATCAATTAGTCAGGAATAGTCTGAAAGAACATCCTATCTACATATGCAACACCTTGCACATGCCTGCACAGTGTTGGGGGGAATGGGGGCTATGACTTTCAGATCACTATGGCAACACCAATCTGTAAGGATATGATAGTTATGCCAACTGCCATTAAAAAAAAAAAAAAAACCTGAAAAGTAACCTATTCTTATGGAAGGGTTTAATATGGATCCAGTAACATATTTTTCCAAGAATGGGACATAAAGACCGAGAATCCTTCACCACTGCTAGAAGAATTCTGCAGAACACTGCTCTATCTGTATTTCCACACTGTCTATAATAAACTTGCTTTTGTTTCAGCCAATTTCATTTGAATTATTTCCTAGTTATAGTTAAGGACTAAAGGTCTATCATATCTGGCAAAACAGAAATATCATATTTAAGTCCAACATTTTGAAATGAATGAGGTTGTTTTTGTAATCACAGAGAAATTTTTTACAACTCCAAGATGTTAAATATCCCACAAACTGGAATAACATATAGCAGTGCCCAGTTAGTAACATAGGTCTTTGGTTAATCAGTTTCCCATATTTTGCATAGTCAAAGGGATTTTTTAAACTTGTATTGGTTCATCTTCCCTTTATTTTAATGTATGATTTCAAAGGTAAACTTATAACTTTTAAGGAAGTGGCAAATTTTTTGTTAAACTCATTCATTAATGGCAGAATTAGTAACATGATGACTGGCTCAAATAACATCTGAGAAGCTAGAATATAGAGATAAAAAATATATGTTAGAATCTAATTTCTGAGTTTTATATGAAACTATGTAATGTTCACAAGGCCACATCTCTTTAGGATTATATGCTTCATTGTACTGAAAATATTTGTATCTCTATTATATATCTGGAAGTCAACAAGTAACTTCAAAAATGTTAAGAACTTTAATAAATAGTAATTAATGATAGTAACTAAGCACATTACCTAAATCAACACAGTGAAGTAGAAATATAATGTAAGTCACAAATGCATTTTATTTTTAGTAGACATATTAAAAATAAAAATATGGGCTTAATTTTAACAGTGTTTTAGTTAACCCAATATATACAAAGTATTGTTTCAGCATCAAATTGATGTAAAACATTAAGATTTTTTTCATAATAAGTCTTAGAAATCTGCTTTGTATTCTCACTTAAAGGATTTCTTATTTCAGAAAAGTCATAATTTAACTGCACATTAGCTATATGTTTCTAATGCTTTCTTATTGGATAATGTGACTTTAGAGTAATCTTTGGATTACCTCTGCCCCTGTGATGTGCCAACTATAATTTAGGGCCTATTTACAAGTTTCAGACATATTTCTGACAGGGTACACTTTAAATACTCTCTTTGAGCTGAGAAAATCACATCTCTCCAGGAATTAGTTACCACACTCAAAACTGAGGTCTGCTAAATTCTGACTTATCAACTAAGCCTACCTATCTTTCACCAAAATTTCATCAATCTGATTTTTTTTTCCATTAAATGGGGTAAACTTCAGTGGTGCACTAATTGTTCTACATGCATCATCTCACTTAATCCTTTCTACTATATTATAAGTATTAGCTAAAATCAATAATTAAAAAAATATAACTATTGTTCTTGTCTCAACTAAGGACTGCAAGTCAAGAGATAGGACATAGCTGGTCTGATCGATAAAGAAGCCGATTCCACATTAAAAAAAAAAAAAATGCAGCTAAAACTAGCTGCCTCCAGGTCCATCAGTTACTTCAGAGAAAGTAAAGACTTTAAGGTTCATGAATTTGCTTAAATTCTCAATTCCCAGAAGAAAAGACTCTAAAATAATAGGGTAAATTTAAACAACCCTGTTTGTTTTCCTCAATTCATAGATAAAATTAAGTGTGTCCTAATTTTCTTTGCCTATACAGAAGTTCTTGAAATAGTGGTATATAAACTTTACTGAGAAGCCCAGGAATTGAACAGCTTTCTCAGACCTATCTGAAGGCTAGTTCCAGGCCTTTGTTTTCAGACATGATTTCATAATAAAAATTTGCTTGCTAAATTTATTTTTTAGCCCTCAAAGACTGGTACAATACTATTCCTATTTTGTAGATAAAAACTCCTCAACACATGGAAGGTTAAATAAATTGGTCACTGTTAATAAAAGGTCATGCCAGAGCTGAGATTTCAACCCAGACATTGTGTCTACACAGCTCTTCTCTCAATTTTTCTATCTTACTATAATACTTTAGTATACTGGTCCAGTCAATATTAATAGATCGCTTCCTGGACCTCCCTGATAATTTATAATGAGTGCTACATAATTTAGCAGTTAGTTTTAGATAGTATTATAGTTGAACCATTTGTTTACTTCATCATGTTATAAACTATGTAAAGACTGGGACCATAATTTGTTGTCACCAGTGGTGTACATTGCCTAGAGAATCAGCTGGAAATGTAAGTGATACATGATTGCAATCTCTTACACTTTTTTCTAGAACTGGAGTTTATTTTGCCTACATTAAATCAAATTCTAATTAGCAACTTCACACCATGCTGAGCTATGATTGGAGAAAATTACATTGCAAGAAAATAAAATCCAATAAATCATTAAGTGGTCTTGAGGTTGTTTCAAGACGATTTTCAGTAAAAATGAATCAAGACTATTGTGAAAACCAGAACTGGTGGTAATATTTTTCTTTCTAATCTCCTGACCTATACTTGAATTCTGATTGGCTAGTGATGGAGAGTTGTTATGAAGTGTGGCATACTATACAAGGGTTGTAAAGGTTATCAGTGACTATGTAAGTAAAGTAATTAAACTTAAACACATTTTATAATTTATCCATTAACTTTAAGCATCCACACTGCCTCTATCAGGACACACAATTTACTTAATACCTAGAGAACATTAATTAACTTTTTATAATTTAAATCACAATGTATTTACCAACAAAACATATATTTTTTAAATTTTCCACATTTTCTATTTACTTCAAGTAAATTGATAGCAAAAAGGAAAATAATAATGTAAAAAGTTTTGGTGAGTCTATTTAAGCTAGTTACTCTATGTACTTAGAGAAGATATTTTGTGAAGTGATACATCCAGAAAAATAATATAAAGCAATCTACTAAACAACTTATTATTTGTTATTGCTAATGTACATAAGGTAGCTTAATCTCCATGGTCAGCATTTGTGGAAATCTTTATTCTTTTAGAAATGGTAAGTCTGTTATTAGTAAAGTTAAATATTTTTACCTTAGACTTACATAAATTTAATTACCCAGATTAGTTAAACATTTACTAGATCAGAGAAATTTTAAGCATAAATCATTGAAGTAAACATATTTACTTGAATATCTTTACTGAAAAATACTTTTTGTTAGATTCTAGAAAGTAGCATCTTGTTAACAGGAGACACTATTTTTTTATTCAATAGAAATTAGATCTTTCAGTAGGCTGCTACATTTTTTTTTATTTTTCAGATTGCTATTTTGCTGAGTTTGTGACTTTTTAACTTGCTTCTAGGTCTAGTATATTAAACTTTTATTTCTATTTTTTTTTAAATTTACTATACAGTGTATTTTTAAGTTAATTAAAGATTCATTAAAGACATGTTTAACCCACATATCCTGCAAAAATAGTTTTTGAATGATAATTTTCATTCAGAACAGCCCCATATTCAAAAACCTAATTTTCTTCACTGAGCAATTTTTGTTATAGAAACTATATCTGTGATGATGATTATGCCAATTGT